CATCAACTCACCCCAGTCCAGGTCACACACCGTTTACCATTTCCAGGACAGATTTATAGCCTTAAAACTTCGCATTTTATGAGCGTGCTCAGTGAGTGTGTAGGGTAAACATAACTCCAGGTCACATTTGACCCCAAAATTAAAAGAAAAATTGAGAAATTATATTTTACATAAAGAATATGAAGCCTATTTTTCGGACCATTAAGATTGTTTTGCATTTGGGCATTACTTTAATGATAAATAAATAAGCACATTTCTCCCAGGACGTCCTTTGTCATTAGATTCTCATTTCTGTAACATTTTTTATTTTAAAATGGGACTTTTTTTTTTATTATTAAAATAGCATGAATAAAAAGTTATATACTTTTTTTTGTAATTTCCCTTACTTTCATTTGATTCCCTTTTGTATTGTAACAGAACATATTTTTTTATCTACATTTTAAACATTTGATTTTTTAAAACTTTTTAAAGATTTTTAAATAAATTAATAAACTATAAATAGTAATATAAATAAATAAACTATAAATAAATTACTTAAAGATTTCTTAAATAAAACATCATACATAGAATAGCATACATAAGTTACACATTTGCATTATAAGTTGTACATTTGTATTTTCTGTAAATTCCATTACACTCATTAGATTCTAATACATGTAACAGATAAAAAAAAAAAAAATTATTTACATTTAAAAAAAAATTTCTTAATTTTTAATTTTAAATTTTTTTTTTCAATTTAAATAGCATAAATAAAAAACTACAATAAAAATGAAAATATATCAATTTCTTTTACATTAGAGTAATTCCATTTTTATTTTGCATTAAATTCATGAAAATGTCACATTGGAATTTTTCTTAAAGAACTAAAAATAAGACTTATCTGTTTTAAGTAAATCTGATTTTGGCTTGAAATATGACCCAGACATGTTCTTGACAGGTTCAAGAGTTTCAGCAAATGTTCAAGTCTCCATCATGCACACTAACACTTCAAAGTGACTTTAAACTGCTTTACCAGGATAAAGTAGCTCAGGGCCCAAAAGGGGTCATTGCTACCAGTCAAGCGAGTGTGCGCACGAAAGTCCTACCATCTCAACCTGCCGAGGGTCCAGCTGAGTCGGTTCTGTTGGCGGGACGGCGAACTGGATTTTCCTCCTTTCTTTGGGTTCCACGGGGCCCTCTGAGGGATTCGAGGGATTCGAGGGATCCATGATGTGCTTTGGTCCTCTGTCAGTCTCACAAATATCCCTGGAATCTACCTATGCCTGTCTCAACATACATATGCACACACACGTGGCGTCCTCCAGGCAGCTTTCTTCAGTGCTGGTGGTGTGGTCTCCTCTCTCCTTGACTCTTCTCTGATTTGTCTGTCTGTTGAGCCTCTCAGATATGCCGGCGGCCTCTTTTTTTCCTTTCTCTTATCAGTGTGACCTCTGGTTTTCTCCCTCTCACAGTGTTTGGAGTCGGTGTGGGCGTCCTTATATCAGCCGTGAGGACGGAGAGGGGCGGAGCTCAGAGAGAGGATGGTACACTCGCGTGTTTTAGTGGGGTGCGCTGACGTTGATTTCTAATCAGAAAAAAAGAGATAATCTCATCCAACTGGCTGAGCCTCTTTTGGCCTCTATTTGTGAATAGGAGATTAATAGAGAGCGAGAGAAATATAGAGAGGGCAATAATTCATGTCAGCAACCAATTTCAATGTATACTTCAGTTTTACACATTCTAAATAGCTGTGTTGATGTTGAAAATCATCAGGAGCGACACTGATTTGATGCTTAGCACAGCATCAATAACTTGTCCAGTTACAGTGGCTCTGACTTAAAGGGATAGTTCACCAAAAAATTAAAATCCTTTATTTACCCACCCTCATGTCACCCTAACATTGTATGACTTGCTTTCTCTGTATTCTGTAACACAAAAGATGATAACTTGGATGAATGTCAATCAGATATTTTAAAAGTGACTTAAGTTTCTACATACCTTTTTGACAACCATATGTATAAAATGCATCCAAAACACATTTTAAATAATGTTTGGCATGTTATTATTACACAGTATAAATGATGGTTTTCAAATAATTCTGCACAAGTTGTAAAAATTCAGCAGACAAAAATCAGGAAACATTCAATGTTGTTATTGTAAACAAATTAATAAAAATATATGTTTTTGTTAATTGAAATAAAGCATAAAAATGACTAAAATTGAATTACTAAAAATATTAATTTTAACATTTCTAAAAGATAAACATCAAGGAATTTAGAAAAATACAGTTAGACAGTTGCTAAAACTTACATTAAAAATGAAACCTGAAAATATAAAATTAAAAGCTGGTTAAAAACTTAATCAATCTAGAATGTAAATTAAATACTAAAGCAACAGTGGACATTAAGCAGCTGAAGCAACACTTGAATGGTTTTGTGATGCAAATGCACACCTGGGCCAGTTGCATAAATATAGCCATTATGTTGAGACTGTGCTATAAGAACTATAATATGACTAACTAGCAGTTAACCAAACGGTAATCGGACTGTTCAGTATCAAATTAGACCAATCTAGGCTATGTTTTTATGTAACGGACTTAAAAAGTTGTGAACGGTCTTAAACTTGTGAGACTACAGGTGTCTCTGAAGTCTTTCTTTCAAAAAGAATAAAAACCCTTTTAAGTTATAGCAGGACAAGATTCTCTCTCAACACAATGACATTCAGGTCCACTGCACAGAAGACTTACTAGCGACACCTAGTGGATAAAACATGAGCTTAATAGGAAATAATGAAAACGCCAAAACATTTTAGACAGCAAATACAATTTGACCTGTACAAAAACATCTAGGTAACATTTACCCCTACTATTTTGCTTGAGATAAACTAATAAACATTAAGCGCTCAAACATCAAATAAATCAAAAAGTTTCCACTTTGCCCGTCTGGTCTATTTCAGCACAAGTGTTCATGCGAGAGCTGCAAATTTAGCTGAGCACCAAAAATAGTGACTAAAAATGGCTTTAATCAAGCTGTCGTCAGCATCTTCAGACCTGCTTCTGAACTCTTATTTGAGAGTGAAACTCAGTCACTGCTACATTTCAGCCAGGATTTTAGCACAGTATCCCAGTAACTGGATATGAACGGTCTATTAAACAAACAGTTAACAGAAGCTTTCAAAAGAATTGGTTTTACATTCTCACTAAAATAAAAAGCATATATACTATATCCCATTTACTGTAATTGTGAAACTATGTAAATATTTCATGGTTAAAGGGCAAAATAAATTGGTCAAAAGTGGGTAAAAGACATATATTGTTACAAAAGATTACAATTTCAAATAACTGCTGTTCTTTAAAAAAAAACATATATATATATATATCAGGCTCCACAAAAACATGAAGCAGCACAACTGTTTTCAACATTGATAATAAATGTTTCTTGAGCAGCAAATCAGCATATTAGAATGATGTGACACTGAAGACTGGAGTAATGCTGAAAATGTAGCTTCACATCACAGGAATAAATTGCATTTTAAAATTAATTCAAATAGAAAACTGTTATTTTAAACTTCAATATTATGTTTTTACTGAATTTGGATCAAATAAATGCTGCCTTGGTGAGTCTAAATGATTTATTTAAAAAATATATATATATAAAAAAATTTAAAAAAAGTCCTAATGACAAGTATTTTGAACTGCAGTGTTACTATACCTGGCTCAATTAAGGTACACATTGAATTAACTAAATACATTTCAAAGCCTTTTCAGACTAATGTAACTAAAGTAAATACCAAAAAAGTGCAACAAATGGTCCTCGCTCTTCTACTCACATTTTCCCAAGTCCTGAATTCCACTGGGAACAAACCAAAAAAATTCAATATCTAATGACCATGTCAGCAGCTGTGGAGCACTCAGGCCGGCTAGCTTGTTTTTTTAATGCCGCATTCAGCAGATGGTTGAACACAAATTTTCTCACTCGCATATTAATGCAGCATTTGCTCACAGATGAAATCTGACAAGTGCACGTCTCGACCTTCCCAAATCCCCTGATTTGAGCCATGCTGTTAGCAGCACTCAATGCCAGTGTCCTAAATCTCCATTTGGCATCTATGTGAAACTGCCTGAAAGAACAGGGGGGGGGGGAAAAAAGCTTCTTGATTAAAACAAACTCCTTTATATTAAACTTAAAGGCATGAATGTTGTATTGTTATTATTCAGTGCTGCTAAACGATTAATCGCACTTAATCACATCCAAAATAATAGTTTTTGTTTACATAATATATGTGTACTGTTTATATTTTGTGTATATAAATACACATATATTTTATGTTTTGAAAATATTTACATGTACTCACATGTATATATTTATATTAATATAATTTATATATATATATATAAACATTTTTCTTAAATACATGCACGTGTTTGTATTTATATTTACATAATAAATATACACAGTACACACACATATTTTGTAAACAAAATTTTTTATTTTGGATGCGATTAATAGCGATTAATCGTTTGACAGCACTATTATTATTACTTTATTATAATACTCAACAGTAATGGGGATAGATTTACTTATAACTTTGAGTCATTTAACTTCAGTTAAGTAGATTTTAGTTATGTTTATAACTGTTAAAGTATATAAAAACGGCAAAATAAAAGCAAATCTTACCTGCCTTAAATTTTTATTCTCTTCTTTCACGCTGCTTCAAACCATGCGTCTTGTAGAGGTGTGTTACTACATTTTCAAGAGATTTGTTTTTTTTGCACTTGGTGCAGAATAAAACTGCTGAACATCCACTCAACACCCTAGTAACCACATAGCAACATACTCAAAACAGCCACCGCATAGCAATGTCATGGCAGTCATCTACAAAACCCTAGTATTATGGCAGCATATTTTGCATGCACTTCAGAAATCCTATCTAATGCAGCACTACAAAATGTTCAAAGTGTGCATATAAATGTGCATGATAAAATGGACATGCATATGTTTACATAAAATGTAGCAGACACATTTTACTCGGCCACATTTTTCATTTATTATCAGCTTACAACATGTACACTTGGCAGAGTCAAATCAAATCTGGCGCTAAAATTCAAGTCAGTTCAGTGTCTTTCTGAAGATGCTTTCGATTTAAATGAACTTTGCTAAACCTTGTGGTCCTGAAAACAACATTTGGATGAGGACATACACCCCCCCCCACCAAAAATCAAAATAAGAACACATCTTTTGCACAAGCTAATATGAATCTGTAAAACCAAAGGCCTCACTCGAGTACTGCAAATGACTTCAAGTTTTCCTCATGCCTTTTGTACGGAATCAGAAAGGATGAAGTAGCACAAGCCGGATCAAGTCTCTTGCTTTACACATTACAGCACTAAAGAAAGTAGCTTGATTTAGACATTTACGCAGCCCTCAAAGAAATCACACATGGCTAAAACTCACAGACCGTTGCAGTCGGGGGCGCGGGAAAAGATGCTCTCCAAATAACGCTGTGGGAGGGATGAACATCATCCATTCGCATTCAAGAACAGTTCCTTCAACATTCACTTTTTTTTCACATTAAGTAAAAAAATGACAACGAACAAAAAGATCAAGTTCAGAGAACGGTTCAGGAAGGGCCGGCGGCTCCTCCCAGGGTGTACCTCAGGTCTTGGTCCTGGGTGAACTGAGTTTCCGGAGCAGCGCTTGCGGGTGAGGGGGTGTAAGAGGAAGCTGGCGGTGGGGTGGCGCTCGGGGGAGAGGAGGGTCCCCGGCCGGGGCACAGGTCTGCAGCGGGACGTCTGCTCTCGGAGACTTGCTGGGAGATGAGCTGGAGTAGGGTTGTCGCTAAATCTGATGTTATGTCTTGAGCGTGCTTTGCAGACTTTGACCCTGTTGCCTCTGGATTTACTAATGCAGAATCTGCCAGGAAAAAAGACACCAAATATGATTATAATCAATGACTTTCTTACATGAGCTACACCAATAAATAGTACAACAATTATACAATACATAACATTGCTACTGTAAACCCTAATAAGTCATGAAAACTCAAATTTATATTCATTTTTCATAAACCAAGAATAAGTAGGCAAAACTTCAGATTTTGGTTTTCGTACTACAAAAACATGTTAATTGCATTTAACTTGAAATATTGAATAAGCCAAGTCACACAAATTGATTATTAAGCAATAAACAACTAAAGCTTATTACTGCCATTACACTGTCTATTGTTTTTTTTTTTTTTTGAATGATGAACAAATAATGACTTTGACGTAACTAGAATAAAAATTTGAATTAAATCTAAATAGAATAATGCACATATGAAAATATGAATCTGCTTTTAAGTGATTATTCTTCACTTACAAGCAAATATCAGCTTTATTTTCTCTTAGCACATTTGATATAATTCTGTTAAATGTATAACATGGACATTTGAAAATATTTATGGTATAATTTATAGAGTATAAACCCGACTCTTTTCATAAAATGATCATTTTAATTATTTAAAAAGGTATATAATTAGTAAAGAGTAATATGACTGGTAAATAGTATTAAAAACAGCATAGTAATTTGTTAAGAGTGTTCAAATGACACTCAAATAGTTTGGGTTTTGCTAATGCAGCCACTGGCAGGAAAAAGACAGGAGTCTAGATTTATATAACTTGCTAGCTTTATGTAACATGACTGTTTTATTAATTGCAAAGCCAAGCCTAATACATGTAAACGGGGAGATGATGACTAAAATGTGTTTATAAATAAGTAATTTTCTCTATTAGTAAGACTTTCATGATTTATTCCTGGAGTAAAATCAAGTTCTGATCTGGATCAGAAAATAGTCATCTTTCAATGACCTCTAGCTGAATTACAGTTAAGATACATGGTTAATACATGACGCGCCAAAAGCAAGCGCCCACGTCTGCATGGCTAAAATGCTTAAAAAAAAACCCTGTTGGACTGTCCTTAAGCTAATACAGAAGTCGACCTGAAATGAATCAATGCTCGACACCCGACCAATTATTCATCATTTAGGCAGTTCTGCAGGAGGTGTGGGCTAAAACGCCTCCACAATGCTTACCAAAAAAAATACAAAATAAACTTATACTGACCAACAGGGATTGGTTGCATTTACTTAGTGTATATATATATATATTTAAAACAAATTTAAAAGTACAAATGTAAATGTTGGATAATTAGACAATTAAATGTACAAATGCGGGATAATTTTGCCAAATAATATTTAAATATTATTTTTAACTCACGTATTTAAAGATCTCTATACAGCGATCATTTTAATAGTAGCAGCAGCAGGAGTAATATTAATAATAATAAAACATTTACAACAATAGTAGCATTCAGGAATGGTGCAACATCATTTGCAGCGCTGTATTTTGTCCTTAATTTGAATGCACAGATTGCATATTTGTTTTTCCTTGTGGATTTATGGGACATCTACATTTCTAAATGCATATTATTCATGAATTTTTAATAATATTGTTAATAATAATTGTTAACATACATTTAATATGTTATTTTTATGAAACCATTGTTGTAATGTCTTACAAGATGTGCATACATTTAACATGTTAAATAAGATTCTGATCTAAAAAACAAAGCAAAATCTTTTGATTTGGTTTCAATTTTAGACTTGGCTTCTGTCATTTAGGAATAATATCTATAAGCTGGAGGTGAAGCTTTTGTTTTTAAACATCCAAGTTGTTAATCTTAAAGATAAATACGTTTATGATTTTAAGAAAAGGCTATTCAATGGGTAAAAAAAAAAAAAAGTGTATATATATTTGTCGAGCAATTGCTGTGGCACATCCATATTTAAAGACTGGAAAAAAAAACACAGAATAAAATTAGTTCACTTTAAAATCTATCCGTGTAAGCTATTCTCAGCAAACTCATTCATAAGCTAAAAAGGCAGTTGTTTACTCTAGACTTTGGACCTCCATTTAAACATCCAAGTTGTTAATCTTAAAGATAAATACGTTTATGATTTTAAGAAAAGGCTATTCAATGGGTAAAAAAAAAAAAGTGTATATATATATTTGTCGAGCAATTGCTGTGGCACATCCATATTTAAAGACTGGAAAAAAAAACACAGAATAAAATTACAGTTCACTTTAAATCTATCCGTGTAAGCTATTCTCAGCAAACTCATTCATAAGCTAAAAAGGCAGTTGTTTACTCTAGACGTTGGACCTCTGTGCTCCAATACGACATTGACTTAAAGTTTAAAGGGAGAGGTTAAAACTACAGATGCATGACATTAGATTCTCTAGATAAAAAAAATAGAGTTTGTGGGAGTGAATTAGCTCATGCAAAATTGATTTTTACAGGAACTACTGAAATTTATTTTATTTAAATTGATTTAAGCTTTTGTTTGTGCATTTTACGTTGAAGCAGAAGTTTGTCTAAATATCAGTCTGACTATACAATAAACTATACCAAATGCGTTCCTTTTGCACTAGTAAACATCACATTCACATACATAGAAAATATCTACTAGAGTTTGGAGACTTTCATCAATGCAACAAATAGATGGTGGGATCTAACACAAAAATAAAGTCAAAAACAAACAATAGCCCTTCTCCATCAAGGCAAATATTGATAAGTGTGAGGACAAAATATGCAGTATAGCTATAATTTATTTGACACTCGTCTCACAATAAGGCTTTATTACAGTGTGTATTCCTGTATTCACAGATTAAACCCCAAAGATCATGTGAAAAGAGGGCAGAGAGAGAAATGAAATTGACCACTGAGGAACTGCGAGTGAAAACAAAAGCATGTGAGCTGGAACAAAAAAGAGCTGGAGGGTGGCAGTCAGCAGGACAAGGTCAGCCGATCTTAATTAGACTTCATTAAGCTGGATTACAGCAGCAAAAGCTATAGAGCATCTCTTGGATGAGAACCAGTATCACTTACAAATAAATGGATGCATCTTATAAAATGTCAAGAAAATGCTTGCGTCATATTTCACCCCAAAAATCAACAGAAAGAAATGTATTAATTTGCATGAAGACTATTTTTTTTTAGATTTATTGTATTTGACATCCGCATAATAAATTCAAATAAATTGAATTTAAATCTACATGAATTAAATCGAGCACATTTCCCTCTCATAACCATAAAGAGTGTAGATGATTTAATTTGGTTTTTTTGAATTTCCTTAGATTTTTCCCAATGATACACATTCTGTATTCAATTATTCTGTATTTTTTTTAAATAAACATAAATTGTAGGCTACCATGCTGTATAAAATGCATTATAATTGTATTAATAAATTTTTTATAAATTAATTACTGTAATGCAATATATTTTACATTACAGTAATGAATTGTATATATAAATTATATTCTTATTACTTTAATGCAGATATAAAATGTATATTGTGCAATACAATAAAATGTATAACAAATACTATATATATTTTTTTTATTCTTATGACTAAT